TATTTTAAATATGGCAGAAGCAAGTTTGAGTCTGGCTCACATCCAAATCTACTTCTCCCTCTTCATCATTTTCTATCTACTCTTAATTCCCAACTGTGGACAAAAAGTATCCAAAAGCCCCTTAAAAATGTCAAAATACTCACATCCACTTCCTCTGGTACACTGTGTTTCTTCATGGAAGTAAGGAGCTCCATTATGGGAACAATCTCAGATGACAACACAGAGATTATGTTGTAACCCTATGAGATAAAACACACACAGATACATTACGAAAACTACCAAACAACAGCTGGATTACACGTAAAAGACGTACAACTCTGAGCAAAGACCTTCTGCATGCAGATGCGTCCCTTGCGGATGATGTGTTTGAGTCTCTCCACACACACGCTGTGCAGTGGCAGGTAAAAGCTTAGCTCTGACTGCGGCAGGATGATTGACAGTGCGCAAGTGTTCTTATCACCATTGAGTTCTCCGTCAAAAATCAGGGAGACTATGATGACTCCCTTTTCTGCCAGGACGAAGAACTTCACGTCCACTGCGCCACTCTCTGCGCTTCGTAAAATCTCACCATTCAGCGTGTGATTGGCCAGAAACGTGACCTCTCCATCACTGAGCAGCGACAACCGCTGACCTTTGGGGGCCCAGATGTGCTGTACACGAGGTCCCAGGATGTTGTCCCAGTAAGCGAAGGTTGCAGCCAGCACGGGACACCAGTCCTCGACAAGCACTTCAGTCTTAGCCACACCAGGAGACTGCGGGGGACCGGCTGCAGACATGACAGCCGCTCACACAGACCTACAGTCAAGTCTCACAATGTAGAAGTCAGTGGGGACAAACAGATTGCAACATCCCACTGCACCCATACAATCTGTTGAAGAGGAACAGAGAAAATACAGTGGAGTCGACTAGAAAGTGAAAACAGTGGTATGACACGTAAACCAGGACAATATAACGTTATAAAATTACACTGTTGATTGCTTATTCATTTTCCGAATATATCATTGGTGCCAAAATATCAAAATATGTTAAGGACTCTCGCAGAGCTTCATGTATCTGAACATACGTCGAGCTATTTTTAATCACTATAGCACGACTTTCATGTATAAAACACATCTGCGTTAGCTTGAATAAGCGTACTAAATCAGATATTTGTTGCCGGTATGTTATACATTCAGAATCCTACCTGCTGTTGCTCAAAACAATAACACATTCGTCAGCCCTTTTCCTGGTTTCCTGCTGTCATTAGGCTGAAGGCTGCGAAGAAGCGCGTTGCTGAAGCGCAAGGTTCAACAGCGCCCTCTGGCGGCTGAAGTGGATCGAGCGATTTGTGCTGTTTATCTCTTATAAATCGTGGAGGAAGCGCAGCACTGTGCGTGAGACTGATCCCGCTCTGCTTTAACGCGTGGCTGGCGGATGCACCGAGTAGCGCCGCTTCACACTTTTGGAGTACTTGCGTTTTGCAGTTTCGCGTGGGCTGTAATTTAAAAATAGCCTAATATGAGGTCTCCCTCGCTTCGGCGATCGACCCGATGGCCAGTAGCTACATCGCTGGGTATGTTCAAGTAAGATGCCCAGATGCTGCGCAATTAGGCTTATTTAATATATCATGATGAGTCTCGAGTTCAGTATTTACACTAAATCTGTGCAGATTTGGCTTACATGAACTTCCTCAAGAAATTAATTAGTAAACATAATTTACTTACAGTAACCCGCCAAATTGGCTAGTGATTTGACAGCGTTACCCGC